TCCCAGTAAAGAGGGGAGTTTAATCTTATTAACCTCTGCCCTCTATTCACATGTAGGGCAGGATGCTCCCTCTTAATCTTTGCGAGAAAAATCTTAACTTGCTATCAACAGGCCTGGTATCAAACAGAAAGAGATAAATAAAACATAGTCCTAGATTTCAAGGAGTTTAACATGTATGACATTATAATAAAATAAACGTAACTAATTTACTAAGCAAAATTGCTGCTTTTAACATTAATATTACCTTAAAGCAGTCATCAATTTTCAACTTCTACCTAGTACTATGAATAAAGTATTATTAACCCTTCCAAAAAATTGAAAGCTTTGAAAAGTTTAAGCATGTAAGAAGAGGAGATATGATTTTATGAAGTTCATTTTGTGTGGAGAATCAAGTTGGTGGAGCCTAAAACTGGACTTCGGAAGACCATTTAGAAAGCTACTCCAGGTGAGAGATGGTCGTGGCCTGGATTATGGAAGTAGCCATACAGCTGCAGAGAGATGTGGGCAGATCTGAGAGATGCTGATGAGTTAGAATCATAGGACAGGTTGACCAGCTGGTTGTAAACAATAAAGTGGAAGAACTTAAGGGAAAGGAAAGTATCAAAGAGGACTTCTAGCCCTTTGCTTTCTTAATACTCCTTCCTAATCTTCCCACCCAGTATCCATATGGCAGTCTGAGAAAGGAGGTCAACAAGGGAAAAGAGCGTGCTGAGCTGAGGAGTGCCCAAGGAAGCAGAGTGGTAGCAGCAAGGAAGGGTGGGGTAACATGGAGGAGGCCTCCAGTGTGGAGTCAATGGGAATTGGCTACACTAAGGGGAACAAATGAACTGAATGAACAAATCAGTAAGTATACGGAGAATAATGAGAACCCAGTTTCTCTCTGAGAAGAGATTTACAAACACAGAAAGAAGGAAGACTAGACCAGGCGTGGTGGCTCACGCCTGTAATCCCAGCACTTTGGGAGGTCAAGGTGGGCAGATCACGAGGTCAGGAGTTTGAGACCAGCCTGGCCAACATGGTGAAACGGCCTCTATACTAAAACTACAAAAAAATTAGCTGGATGTGGTGATGCGCACTTGTAATCCCAGCTATTTGGGAAGCAGGGTCAGGAGAATCATTTGAACCCAGGAGGTGGAGGTTGCAGTGAGCCGAGATCGCGCAATTGCACTCCAGCCTGGGCAACAGAGCAAGACTCCGTTTTGAGAAAAAAAAAAAGAAAGAGGGAAGACTAGAAAGAATTCTGAGGTATTAAAATTAAAATATAAATTCATGAGGTTTTTTCCAAATGTGTACATTGACAGACATTTTTAAAATATAAATGTGTATGCATGGGTACATATATTTTTATCCAGCTTTGAATACTGAGAAGCAACAATGACACTCCCCAGGGAATGAACACAAAGAGCACCCAGATCTTCGTTTTGAAAAACTTAGGATTTCTTGGAGAAATGACTGATTCCAAGGCTGGCACAGGAAGAGCACAAAAGGAGCCCAGAACGGTACGTAGTATCAGGAGTTAAGGAAGTGCTCAGTGACAGAAATAAGTCCAAGGACACAGAAGTCATCTTGAAAGGATCCCATTGGCCAAATCTGGGATGATTAGAGCACCCAAATAATAAGCAGTAGCAGTAATAGTATCACATTACAACCCATTGAATAAAATCTATATCCACGAGTCCATGCTGATATAAATATGTATATGCACGTTGAAGAAGGGAAAGTGCTTCCTCAAAATAGAATTCCAACTTATATATAAGACTATCAAAATCATTTGCATAGCTAATGATCAATGCAAAAAAAATGGTGTTTACATTTTTAAAGGGTTACTGAAAGCAAAAGAATATGCAACAGAGACTGTTTATGACCTGCAAAACCCAAAATATTTATTATCTGGTCCTTTACAGAAAATATTTGCCAACCTCTGATGTAAAGAGAATGATGCAAAAGGATAATCATCACATAGCAACCACCACAGAGGTATCTGGTACAGTTAACAGTCATCAATGGATGCTATGGAGGTTTACTGAGGAAACACAGACAGACCCAAGCTGGGCCTCACCCCACAAAATAAAAGCTGTGCACTCTAAAAATTGTAAATGACATGAAAAACACAAAGACTGAAGAACTCTGTCAGACTGGAGGAGACTAAAGAGCTATGAAAACAAAATACAGCCGGGTGCAGTGGCTCACGCCTGTAATCCCAGCACTTTGGGAGGCTGAGGCGGGTGGATCACCTGAGGTCAGGAGTTCAAGACCGGCCTGGCCATCATGGTGAAGCCCCGTCTCTACTAATAATACAAAAATTAGCCGGGTATGGTGGCAGGTGTCTGTAATCCCAGCTACTCGGGAGGCTGAGGCACAGGAATCGCTTGAACCCAGGAGGCAGAGGTTGTAGTGAGCCAAGATCACACCACTGCACTCCAGCCTGGGCAACAAGAGCAAAACTCTATCTCAAAAAAAAAAGAAAGAAAGAAAGAAAAGAAAATACAATCCATGCTACTGAACAGGATCTTGGCACAGAAAAGAAAAAGGAGACACTATTGGGACAACTGGCAAAATTTCAATTAAAAATTAATGATTCAGATAAATGCTAAGTGCAAGTCATAAGAAGCCCAAGATAAAAGAGTCAAACTTGATGCATCAGATGAAAAAAGGAAGGACTAGAAGGTATGAGACTTTGGTGGGAACAACTGAAAAAACCTTTGCCAAGAAAAGAAACCATGCTGAGTATAAAGATGAAAATCTTTATAATGTAATCTTTATAATGTAAGCCCAATTAAACCAAGACAGATTTTTCTAAAGGCTCAGGATTAAAATGAATGTCTTAAAATATTATTCAAAGGCGCCTCAAGAAAGTTCACTGGTATACTTTGTAACTCTTTCTATTTACCTGTAATAATAATAATAATAATAATAATTATTATTATTATTATTATTATTATTATTATTTTTAGACGGAGTCTCGCTCTGTCACCCAGGCTGGAGTGCAGTTGCCAGATCTCAGCTCACTGCAAGCTCCGCCTCCCGGGTTCATGCCATTCTCCTGCCTCAGCCTCCCGAGTAGCTGGGACTACAGGCGCCCGCCACCTCACCCAGCTAGTTTTTTGTATTTTTTAGTAGAGATGGAGTTTCACCGTGTTAGCCAGGATGGTCTCGATCTCCTGACCTCGGGATCCGCCCATCTCGGCCTCCCAAAGTGCTGGGATTACAGGCTTGAGCCACCGCGCCCGGCCGCATACCTGTAATTATTAATACCATAATTAGTTGCGGGTTTTTGTAATTTTGAAAACATATGGCTCCTGAAACAGACGTGTGTATAATCAATGCTATATATCCTTTCTTAATGGTAATCAGGAGCAGGATTTATATCCATTGATCTTCAAGATTATACAGGTAACATAACTGAAAATTTTCCATAAATACCCACAGGATTTAGCAACACGAAAGTTACTAGTCACCTTAGCAAGATTAGCTTCAGTGGTATTTTTTGGACAGCACCAGACTGGGCTAAAAGGGTAACGTGGGCCAGAAAGGAACAACAGTCTGCAGCAATAACTCTTTAAAGAGGTATGGCTAGGAGTGGGGGGATATGCAGCCAAGATTGTGTGTGTTGTGGGGGCGGCGGGGGTGGTGAATTAAAAAACACTGAAATGCTGACTAGAAGGATCTAGTAGAGAAGGAAAGATTTGAGATTCAGGAAAGGGCAAAAATAACCATTTGAGTGAGGTTCCCAAGAAGGGACCAGGAAGAAGATTTGGAGAAACATGAAGAGGTTTGTCTCTGACAAGAGAAGGAACAGCTTGTCAATGGTACCAGGAAGGACAGAATTGAGAGACGACAGATGTGCAGGTAAATAAGTCTACTTATATGGCAGAAGGCAGTTGGGATAGTTCCCATCAGATGCCTTCACTTTTCCCTGGGCAGCAAGGGGAAAGTCATGAGTGAGGATGTGTGATGAAAATGAAGGGTTGAGGGTATAAGGAAAGAAGACAAAGTAAGAAATTGCCCACAGAGAGTAGTGCAAGAGTGAGCTGAACTAGAGAAATACAACAAGGATGCCACATAGCATTTGAGAGCCCAGACAAGACTGCTAACTCAAAGGGGTATTTAAATAAATCATAGGAGAGAGGGTTATATTTGTTCAGTAGACTATTAAATTGATACAAGTGCGTTAACACATCTTTATACATAATTATCCTTTATACCAAGTTATTATAACCACATGAGTAAAGTAGTAGGCAACCAATCAAAACACAAAAACAGCAAAATCACAGATGCTTGAACATTAAAATGAATTCATCTGAACCACATGATAAACTCATTTGACACAAAATCTGAATGGGGATGCTAACAGGGAAAAGTCAGGGAACACTAAAAATATAACAAACCAAACACTGTACCCTATATACTGCCACAGTTTTCTACTATCGCCTCTAAATTGTTTTTGAGGCTGGGTGCGGTAGCTCATCCCTGTAATTCCAGCACTTTGGGAGGCCAGGACAGGCAGATCGCTTGAGGCCAGGAGTTCAAGACCAGCCTGGGCAACATGACAAGACCCCCACCTCTACAAAAATACAAAAAATTAAGCCAGGCCTGATGGTGCATGCCTGTAGTCCCAGCTACTTGGGAGGTTGAGGCAGTAGAACTGCTTGAACCCAGGAGGTGAAGGTTGCAGTGAGCCGAGATCATACCACTGCACGCCAGCCTGGACGACAGATGGACACTCTGTCTCAAAATAAATAAATTTATTAATTAGTTTTTGAAACCATAATACCATAGTCCTAACAAGGTTTTACTGAAATTCTCTCACAGTCTCAAAGTTTTCCAGCTCCAAGTTTTCAAAATTCTCTTTTAGAAGAAAATCAAGTGATTTCTCTCAATATTACTCTGAGATTTCAGTTTCCTACCTATTCAATTAAATTTATTCTTATTCTAATATTTTCTTCAAGCTTGCTGTTTAAAGGTACCCAGATATATCCCCAAAAGATGCTTCATCTTACCGATACTGCTGTTATCCTAAGAGAATCGGCAGTGGAGTGTCTGAATAGGTACCATAAAATGGGTCCGATTTCTCCTGTAATAAAGCCCTGGGCCTGAGCAGAAAAGGTGGTACAGACATTTTCAATAATTTTTGCTGCCATGTGATTCACAACACGCTCTTCCTAGAAAGGATACAGATCAAGGAGATTAAAATAATATTAATTAGTGTGAGAAATAAATATATGTCATTTCTTTATAACCATTGCAAATAATGTTATGATACCAAGACAGCATCATCTGCCTCTGGATGTGTTAGGCACCTTGGGAGGAATGATAACTCTTTCAGGTCATTATGAAACTATTACAAATAATCATTTGATTATTCACTAGCAAGCTATCATAACATAACCCTCCATATATTTTAATAAAACAAAGAATTATGAAACATATTTCACACGAAGGTTGCAGTGAGCTGTGATCACACCACCACACACCACTGCTGAAACAACCTGGAAATACCTTTCTTAAGACTCTCCTTGATGTCCCTTATTTAGGCAATCTTTCCACACTGGCTGATTGACGGACAGGTTATTCCTAGGACTGGATGACTTCTGAGATGTGACCAAATTAATCCTAGAGTAAAAGCCATTCTGGATGGTCCTAATGCTGCCAAAAAGCCTCAAAAAGATTCAGCTGTTTTCAGGTAATATAAATGAGTCCAAGGAAAAGCCCAGAAGTACTTACAGAAATTTTAAAAACTTCAGCACCCCATGATATAAAATTCACAGTGACTAACATCTAATTAAACATTGCCAAGCATGCAAAGAAGCCAAAAAATATGATTCATAATTCAATCAGTAGAAATGACTGATAGACTTAATAGAAAGGTATTAAACGGCTACAATAAATGTAGTCCAAATACTCAAGAAGGAAGAGGAAAGCAAAAATATAAGGAGATAAAAAAAATACATAAAAATGACCCGAATCAAAAGTCTAGAGATAAATAATGCAATGTCTTATATTAAAAATACACTGAATGGGATTAACAGATCAGACACTACAGACTAAATGGTTAGTGAACATGAAGATATAGCTATTAGCAATAAAAATCTATCCAAAATAAACACAGAAAGAAATTAGACTTGAAAAAAAAAAAAAAAAAGAGCAACAGTGAACTGTGGAACACCTTCAAAAGACATCATAAATGTGTAGTTGGAAAAATGCTTGAAATATTGTCTGAGAATTTTTCAAATTCATGAAAACTGGTAATTCCAGGTCTCAGAAGCTCAACGAGCCCTATGCAGAAGAAACAAAGAAAAATGACACCAAGGTACATCATAATCAGACTGCTTTAAAAAAAGGGAGGGAATAAAGAGAAAACCTTTTGGACAGGAGCAGTGTCTTATGCCTGTAATCCCAGCGCTTTGGGAGGCCAAGATGGGAGAATCGCTTGAGGCCAAGAGTTCAAGACCAGCATGGGCAACATAGCAAGACCTTCTCTCTACAAAAAGTTTTAAAAATTAGCCAGGCATGGTAGTACATGCCTATATTCCCAGTCACCTGGGGGGCTGAGGTGGGAGGATCACTTGAGCATGGGAGTTGGAGGTTGCAGTAAGCTGTGATCACACCGCTGCACTCCAGACGGAGAAACAAAGCAAGACCCTGTCTCAAAAAGAAAAAGAAAAGAAAACTTTACAAGCAGCTAGAGTAAAAAGTCATATTCCATAGAGAGGAACAATGATAAGGCTGACAGGGGATTCTCATCAGAAACAATACAAATCAAAAGACAATAAAGCAATAAGTACCAAAAGAAAAAAAAAGGTAACTGTCAACCTACAAATTTAGGCACAAAAATAACTTCTTTCAAAAACAAAGGTAAAATGAATACTCTTCTGACATACAAAAGTTGAGAAAATTCATCACCAGCAGAACTGCACTACAAAAATATTAAAGGAAATTATTCCGGTAGAAAAAAAAAATGACGAGAAGAAAATTAAATCTATACAAAAGAACAAAGAATAAAAAAAGTAAATGTGTGAATAAATATAATAGATTGTTTTCCTTAATTTTTTAGCCTATTTTAAACCTAAGCTGCTGCTGTTGTTTTTCTTTTTGAGACAGGGTCTCACTCTGTCACCCAGACTGAAGTATAGTGGCAGGATCACAGCTCACTGCAGTCTCAATTTCCCAACTCAAGCAATCTTCCCACCTCAGCCTCCCAAGCAGCTGGGACAATAGGCATGTGTCACCATGCCCAGCTAATTTTTTTTAATTTTTAATAGAGATGAGGTCTCACTATGTTGCCCAGGCTGATCTTGAACTCCTGGTCTCAAGGAATCTTCGTGCCTTGGCCTCCCAGAGTGCTGAGATTACAAGCATGAGCTACTATGCCTAGTCAAACATAGTTGTTTAAAGCAGAAACAACAGAAATGTATTGTGAGCTTCATAACATATGTAGACATAAAATGTATGACAATAGTAGGAAGGCTAGAAGGAGAATACTAGATTATTCTGGGGTAAGGTTCTTAGGAATTTGCATATCATTATATATATCATATAAATAAGGTTCTGATACAAAGTTCTAATATACATGAGGTTCATATATAAGGATTTGTATATCAGTACTTGAAGGTCAACTGTAATAAATTTGAGTTATACACTGTTAAAAAAAGATGTATAGGCCAGGCACAGTGGCTCACGCTTGTAATCCCAGCACTTTGGGAGGCCAAAGTGGGGGTGGATCACAAGGTCAGGAGTTCAAGACCAGCCTGTCCAATATGGTGAAACCCCATCTCTACTGAAAATACAAAAATTAGCTGGGCATGGTGGTGCGTGCCTGTAATCCCAGCTACTCAGGAAGCTGATGCAAGAGAATTGCTTGAACCAGGACCCAGGAGGCAGAGGTTGCAGTGAGCCGAGATTGCACCACTACACTCCAGCCTGGGCGATACAGCCAGATCTTGCTCAAAAAAAAAAAAAAAAAAAAATTATAACACACATACATTAAATATCTGAGCATTTTATATAAATGACACCGTAATTAAAATAAAAAATACATTACAGATTACATAATGCCATATTTGTTTAACAAGATAAATGCATATGCAAAGGAAGGGCAAAGAAAGGTATATAATACTCTGTTAATGATGATTATAATAGGTATGGATTGCGGGGAGAAGGAGCCCACTAATTCAACTTTAGATATTTTTACATTGTTTGGTTTGTTACAATATGCATGTATTGCTTTTTCAATCCAAATTTATGTATTTTTCATATAAAAACATTTAAAAATGAGCAGAAGATATTGAGTAATGTCTAAGTTCAAGCCGTAGTTTTTGCATTTTGCTAGTTATATATCCTTGAGTATTTCTCTTTGCCCTAGCTTCATCATCTACAAAATGAAGAAAACAAAACACAAGCAGTTTGAGAATTAAATGAGACAGCATACACGAAGACTCAATCTAGAGCACGAAAAGTAGTAAATTCTCAATAAATGTTAGCTTTTATTCCCATTATTATTAATGCCATATAGTACAAACTACCAGATTGCTAGGAAAGAAATCTTAAATATCCTTCAATTTCTCAAACTTCAACACATTTTTCATTTCTCAGAATGAGTATCTGACAAAACTCTTCCTTCCCATTCCCATTTCCTTCAATGCAGCCAGAATAAATTAACCTAACACTTCTAGCCTCTCTCTGTTCCTTTATTCACTCTACTTGGGGAAATAAAATGTGACATCCATTTGACAAATTTGAAGAGAAAAAACTGGATATTCCTAAGTGCTCAGCTCGACTCTTCCCCCTCCCCGCTTGGGGACAGGCCCACCCACGCAGAGTTGTCGCATATCTCCTAGTTGTAAGCCCTAACTGGACGAGTACCCCACTTGGAGGCTGCTGCTGTGTCTGGGGAATGCTAAGCTTCCTTAATGTGGGGTTCAATATGAGGAAGCCTATTTGCCCACAGAGATAAGCTGTATCCTCTATCCTAGTTCTCACTACATACAAATGTTGATATTTTGCCCCATATGCCTTGCTCTTTGTCTTATTTCTCATGAAGTTCTAAAATCTTTTTCTTGAATATAGGGGGGAAATGAGCTATTTATAGAAGGCCTCTCAAATACACGTGCTTTACAACACAATTGTCAGTCAATTCCTAGGACTCATTCCTAGTACTAGAAAACTACAACTATTTTAGCAGCCGGGTTGGAAAAGGGTCATGTGTCATCCCAGTGCTCTGTAAACTCAGTGAGGTTGTCAGGCCAATTCGACCTGCTCCTACCTGAAATAAGTGACCCTAGTCCATCTTCAATCCCCTGTGGGATACCACACAAGCAAATAAGACTAGTGGGTACTTTCTGCTTAACTCACTCTTTGGGAAGGATAACTGAGCTAATGCCTATTGCTTAAATCAAAGACCTGTTTCTTCACATCATTAAAATAAAAGCTAAGATTATTTTTTAAATAACTAGGCTTATTAATGAAGAGCTGTACTATGTTTTTAATGGTGTTAAATAGATTTAATACACTGTAGGCAGTCTTAACAAAAAAGTTTTCTGCCAATATAATTTTGGTCTACTTAGGCAGGCCCTTAGCCTTGCCTCTCATTTTTCTTGTTTACCTTGTTGGACAAATGCCGTCAGGGCAAACACCAGTTTAAGCATTCTGGGTGCCTCTCAGGGTTCTTGTCTACACAGTTGCTGGCTTAAGAACTTGGTGCTACGGACCAGGTGCCGTAGCTCACGCCTGTAAACCCAGTACTTTGGGAGGCTGAGGCAGGCAGATCACGAGGTCAGGAGTTTGAGACCAGCCTGACCAACACAGTGAAACCCCGTCTCTACAAAAAATACAAAAATTAGCCAGGCGTGGTGGTGCTTGCCTGTAATCTCAGCTACTCAGGATGCTGAGGCAGGAGAATCGCTTGAACCCAAGAGGTGGAGGTTGCAGTTAGCCAAGATCACGCCACTGCACTCCAGCCTGACTGGAGTGAGACTCTGTCTCAAAAAAAAAAAAGAATTTGGTGCTACTTTATAGATGTTTTTAAGGGTTTATTATTTGTTTTTTTTTTTTATATCCAGTATTTTTAGTTGCTTTCAGAGGGATAGGGTTGTCCAGGTATCTTGCCGACTATACTGCAAGAAATGAAAATCCTATATTCTTGGTTCAATGAATTACTAAAACA